CTTTAGCTTAGCTTTAGCTTAGCTTTATCTTAGATATAGCTTAGCTTCAGCTTAGTTTTAGCTTAGCTTTAGCTTAGCTTTAGCTTAGCTTCAGCTTAGTTTCAGCTTAGCTTTAGCTTAGCTTTACTGTTACTACTAGTGCTGCTTTCCTAGGGGCTCCAACTCCTAGGTAGGGTCGCGCTGGGGTAATTGACTATTATTTATGTTTCCTCCCAAATCTGCCCGTAGGGGGACATGCCCGACCTCAGGTTGGGTTGGGGTGGTCTGGTAGGCAGGCAGGTGAGAGCGGTTGTCCTTCCTGCCGGTGGGCGTCGCGAGGGCGCGAAGAGGACCGTTCGCCGCGCCTGGAGGGGCGCGGTGCGCGAAGTGGGGTGGCCCAGGAGGCGAGGGGTCTCTCGCAGTGTTCGGCGCACGGAGGCGTCCCGTGGGTCTCGGGGGCGTTTCAAGACTCGAAGAACGAACAACGCCATGAACATAAACTTTTTGGCGCTCCGCGCGGATTTCTTGGATCCGCGCTGGGCCCTCCTTCCGGCGGCGCCTCCGGCGCCGCCCCGACGACCACGACCCTCCCCGACGACCACGACCGCCCCCGACGACCAACGCCCCCGACGCCCTGCCCTGACCACGACCGCCCCCTCCCCCGTCCACGGCGACGACCTCCTCCGTCCGCCCCCTCGTTCCTGCTTGCTCTGCGCTGCCTCTGCCGCTCCCCTCCCTCCTCCTGTCCTGTTCGGCGTTTGTTCGCAATGCTTTTTCTTCTTGCCCCTCCTCCTCCTCCTCCTTTTCCTGCTCCTGCGACCGGAGGCCCGGCGTCTGAAGGCGTCTCTAGGGCTTGGTCTGCAGCGACCGGCGCCGCCCTTGGCGCGCTCCGCGCGCCAGGGAGGGGGTTCTGCGCAGATCCAAGAAATCCGCGCGGAGCGCCAAAAGTTTATGTTTAATGGCGTTTTTTCTTCTCTTATGAAAGACGGGCCGGGATGTAGCAGCGGTCTTCGGGGGGGGGGGTGGTCAAGGGTCAAGGTCCAGGCCTCCCAAACGGAGTCCGGGTCGATGGGGTCGGAGGGTTGCGCCACATCGCCGATGCATCGGCGATGCGGCTCGATGTGGAGTAACATTTTCTCCACGCCGACATCGGCGATCCGGCGCGACCCTCCGACCCCATCCGCTCGGGCCACGTTATTGGGATCCCTCCAGTCGAGAGTTCCAGCGCCCGCGTGGTGAGCGAACAGATTGCGACGTTGGAGGCCCAGGGGAGGAAATCAGGGGTCCCAAGGCTGCCCAGGGACAGGTGTCCCGATGACCTCGCCATCTCCCGAGGGCCTCACGATGATGGTCTGGCCGTGCCACCAAGTATCGCCGTCCAAAGCGTTGACCAGAGTGTCGCCGCCAAACGTCTTGACGCACAGAGTTGGCGAAAGCAGTGTAAGACCAAAGCGCCGCGACGCAATGCCCCCCCTGCAGCTCTGACCCCAAAGGCACACCCAACCGATGATGGTCTGGCCGTGCCACAGAGTTCCCCGACCCTGGCCGCGGCGCTCGGGCCGTGGCAGGGGGCCGCCGCACCAGCTCGGGACCTGGCCGGCGCTCCGCCGGAGCCGGAGCCGCAGGGTCCTTGGCGTTGCATCATGGGGGGATTTTTCGGAGGCCTAGAGGTTGTCACCAACCAAGATCGGCGATGCGCCTCCACCGAGGGAAGATGATCCCGATCTCGGTGACGGTGGTAAATATTCGGGCTTCAAGGTGGCCGAAATATGAATTGCCACTACCAGAATCCAGGACCACCTTCCCCTGGTGGAGGCAAGCCTCGGTGTTGGTGTCGGTTCTAATTTTCTAAGCCTCCAACTTTTGCCCGTCCTGTGAATGCAGTTTTTTCTTTGTATCTGGCGTGGGTTCGACGCGGATTCGACGTGGATTCGACGCGGATTCGCCGCGTTCGGCATGTCGCCATGGATTCGATGCGGATTCGGCGCGGACGGAGGCGCGATGGGACAGATTAGGCCCCCCGAAGATGCAACATGAGATCCACTCCTCCCTTGGAGGAAGGGACTCGGGAAGTCTTGGTGGCTTGGCACTTGACGTTGGCGCCCGGGCAGCCCAAGGCGTCGGAGGCATCCTCGCCCAATGGCCCAGGTCCCCAAGCTGCTCGCTCACCACGAATCTCCCTCCTCCTCCTCCTCCTCCTCCTCCTCCTCCTCCTCCTCCCCCTCCTCCTCCTCCTCCTCCTCCTCCTCCTCCTCCTCCTCCTCCTCCTCCTCCTCCTCCCCGCGGAACTGCCGGGGCGGCGGGCACTCTTCGACGTCCTCCTCCGCCGACCATCTGCCCAACGGGGACTTCCCCCCGTTGCCGCCCGGCGTGCAGCTCGAGGACGACGAGGTCAAAGGCCGCGTTGCGCTGCGCGCGCGTGCGCGCTCGGGGACGAGCCTCGACGACGATGGTCGGCGACGACCACGACGACGGCGGTCGACGGCGGTCGACGGCGGCGGCGGCGCTGGCTGTGGCGACGCTGGCGTTGGCTTCGGCGGTGGCGGCGGCGACGACGATGATGACGTCGAAAACGGTGGCGCCGTTGTCGTCGTCGTCGTCGTCGTCGTCGTCGTCGTCGTCGTCGTCGTCGTCGTCGTCGTCGTCGTCGTCGTCCGCGGCGAGCCGTGGAGTTCGTGGAGAAGGCCGTGCTGGCGTGCCCCCTGCCGGCCAAGGCGGCCCGCGCGAGCACGCGCGCTTTCCTTCGGCACGAACGAAATGGGTACGGAAAGAATGGGTACATTGCCCAACAGCAGTTCCTGTTGATTTTGAGCAGGACTCGCTGTCGGTGTCGCCGCGGCCTGCGTCCATTTGAAACAGAAGGCCGCCTGCCCAACAGTGGCCGCTGTTGGTTTGGGACAACATTTGTTGTTGGGCATTGTACCCATTCTTTCTGTGCCCATCTCGGGCGCCGAAATTCCTGTTCAGCATGAATCGGCGGTGAGCGAGGAGGGGAAGTGAGAAGGAGAAGGCCTTTTCAGAAGGCGGCGGGACTTCTCAGAAGCCCTCGCGCCGTCTGAGAAGTGTTCTGTGTCTTCGGGGAAGGCTCAGATAACTTCTCAGACTTGGGCCCTGGTCGTTCATGTGATGACCCCGTCAGGCCAACCCGAGTCCCCCGAACCCGAGTCTTACGTCTCCCCGACAGGGAGAGGTGCAGATCGGCGGCGAGCGAGGGGGAAAGCGAGTGGGGGTGGGCCTTCTCAGAAGGCCCGTAAGTCCCACGGCCTTGTGGGAAATTTTCTAAGCCTTCCCCGAAGGCAGATACAACTTCTCAGAAGGCGCGAGGGCTCCTGAGACGTCCCGCCGCCTTCTGAGATGGCCTTCTCTCCTTCCCACTTCCCCCGCTCGCCGCCAAGCAGACTTCTGGGGTGCCACGCGGCGTGACAATCCACGACGTCGGGTGTCTGGAGGCGTCCTGGCTGTCGCAGTCTTCTGGGCCCTTATCTGGGGCCTCCCCCGAGAGGCCTGGGGCCGCGAGACGGCTCGGGAGGAAGACTTGGTTCCCGGGACCCCCCCCCATGGTCGAGGGCAGGAGGAGGAGGAGGAGGAGGAGGAGGAGAAGGAGGGGGAGGAGGGCAGGAGGGGGAGGAGGAGGAGAAATAAAAAAGAGGGGAGGAGGAAGGGGAGAGGAGGAGGAGGAGAGGAGGAGGAGGAGGAGGAGGAAGAGGGAGAGGGAGGATGGAGGGAGGGAGGGGAGGAGGAGGAGGAGGAGGGAGGAGGAGGAGGGAGGAGGGAGGAGGGAGGAGGGGAGGAGGAGGAGGGAGGAGGAGATGGAGGAGGAGGATGAGGAGAAGGAGGGAGGGAGGAGGCGGAGGAGGGCAGAGAGGGCGGAGGGAGGAGGGAGGAGGGAGGAGGGAGAGGAGGCGGAGAGGGGCGGGAGGGGGGAAGGGAGGGGGAGGGGGAGGGGAGGGAGAGGGGGGAGTGGGAGGTGGGAGGGGGAGGGGGGGGGAGGGAGGAGGGAGGGAGAGGAGGAGGGGGAGGAGAGGAGGGAAGGGGGGGAAAGGGGGGAGAGGGGCGGAGGCGGAGGGCGGAGGCGGAGGAGAAGAAGGAAGAAGGAGGAGGAGGGAGAGGGCGGGGGCGGGGAGCAGGACAGACAGAGAAGACAGGAGCAGGGAGCGGAGCAGGGAGCAGGCCGCAGGACAGGGAGCGGAACGGGGGACGGGGAGCGGGAGCAGGGGAGAGGGAAGGGGAGAGGGGAGCGGGGAGAGGGAGCAAGTGGCGGAGAGGGGCTCGGGGCAGGACAGGGAGCAGGAGAGGAGAGAGAGAAGGAGGCGGAGGAGGTGAGGGGGTGAGAGGGGAGAGGGGGAGGGGAGGAGGGGAGGGGGGAGGAGGGGGAGGAGGGGGGAGGGGGGAGAGGGAAGGCGAGGGGGAGAGGGGAGGAGGGGGAGGAGGGGGGGGAGGGGATAGAGGGGAGGAGGGAGGGGAGGAAGGGAGGGAGGAGGAGGGAGGAGGGGAGGAGGGAAGGGAGGAGGGGAGGAGGGGAGGAGGGGAGGAGGGGAGGAGGGCAGGAGGGCAGGAGGGCAGGAGGGGAGGAGGGGAGGAGGGGGGGATGGGGGGAGGATGAGGATGAGGATGAGGATGAGGACGAGGACGAGGATGAGGATGATGATGAGGATGATGAGGATGAGGATGATGAGGATGATGGTGATGCTGCTGCTGCTGCTGCTGCTGAGGAGGAGGAGGAAGGAGGAAGGAGGTCCGTAGCCATTTTGGCTCAAGGCTAAACTTTGCGAAGGGCCATAGACGCCCGAGGTGCAGCGATTAGCTTTGGGATCGTCCGTACTCCGTCGGCGCTGTGCCTTCGTGAACGCTCGACCCTCTCTATCACAGCCTTCAGTGGCACTCGAGAGATTGCTCTTACTTGTTATTTGTCGTTGTGGGCGCAGGCTATCCGATAGCTGCGAGCGATGAATGCAGGACATGGGAGCCTTACCGAGGCCCTCGCGGCCCGTCTCGACGAGGCACCTACCTTCCCGTCCCAGGAGCTGCGCCCCCCGCGGGTGCCCACTGCGAAAGCTGCTGCTGCTGATCGTAGCCGTAGCCGTGGTGCTGCCCCTGAAGCTGGAGGTGCCGACGCAGCTGATGACGACTTCCAAGACGCTGAAGATGATCTACGCTCCTACGTGGACGAGACCAAGGCCTCCCTCATGACAGTCATTGGAAAAGTCCAAGCCTCAGTGTCGTCGCTGGCCACAGCGGTTACGTCATCTTGCAATGATCTTTCGAAGAGGGTGGAAGTTCGGTTGTCATCAGTCGAGTTCGTCCAGCGAGCTACCACTTCAAGAGTTGATGACCTCGAGCGTAAAATACGCGAACTACATGCCATTTTGTGTATCATGCAGAGTGAGGCGCCTGCGACGCCCGCCCCACAATCTAACAACTTCGACAGGGCGCCAGATCCCGCGATCATCGTGTGCCGCACGCAGTCGAACGTGGCGAAGCAGCACATTCTTCCTCCGCTCGCGTCGTGGCTCTCTCGTGCGATGCTTTCAGAGGATGACATTCAGATCGAGTCCGAGCCGCTGTCCAAGCGGTTCCACATCCGCATCAAGGGCAGCGTGGCGTACGCGGCGAAGAAAGTGGGAATGGCTTTGGGTGCCCTGCATCCTGCCCTGAGTGGCTTCTCGACGTGGATGGAGTGCCTGTGGAGATACATGTATGGGCGGACAAGTCGCCGTGCCAGATCAAGAAGGAACTGCTCCTCAAGCAGTGCAAGCGGGTGGTGGGGAACCAGTGCCCAAACATGCGAGTGTACGTCAATAGAGAGTGTGGCGAGTTATCCGTCTCGTGGAAGCCGATCCTCAAGGTGGAACCCGTACAGAACGACGTGCCCAAGATCGAGTGGGCCATGGGCAACCTGGCGGCCGTCGGGATTGCTCGTGATCGCCTGAGGCCAGGCATTCAGCCCCTTCTTCAGGGCCCTGAGCCCACAGTATGGTGCGGGTAGCACCTTCTTTCGGTCGTGGCAAGGAGCTCTCCCTCATCCTCGCCCCATCTCCTTCGTGACTTGGAACGCCCGCTCCCTCTTCCACCACGAGCTCTCCCTTCGTGCTCGCAAGTTCGCCTCCCTCTCTAAGCTCTTAGCCGACGGTGCCGTGGTCAGTGTGCAGGAAGCCCGAGGGTCCCATCGCGAACCACAAGATTATCTATATCATTCTCATCTACCCGCGCAAGCATACTACTCGTTCCTCCCGAACCTTCCCTACCCCAAGGGCGGTGTCATCACCTTCCTCCCCATGTTCTCGCTGAGCCACCCCCAGAACTCTGTAGAGGTAGTCCCTGAGGTGATGGTTAGAGGCGGAGTTTTGAAAGTCACTGTAAAGTTCCCGAACCAGATCGAACTCGTTCACTATAACATCCACAATTCCGGTTTAGACGCAGCGACCAGGGACCGTATCCTCGAGGCTACATCGGTTGATAGGCAGCGAGCTCTGGCAGCACCTTCTCGGATTGTCTTGGTTATCTCTGGGGATTTTAACGTCTCGGCTTCGCCGCCTGTCCCGGCCGCCCCCCTGGGCCGCGCCGGTTTGGGGCCCCCTGAGGCCGATCCTCATTTTCATATTTAAGAATGGCGAGGTCAGCGTGACAGCGAATGGCACAGGTGCTTTCAGACGTTGGCGGAGTTCTCGGTGGTGGAGCCCACCCATTTTTACGCGCCTTCAGGTGCCCTGTCGAACATCGACAGGATTTTTTCGTCTCTGCCGGGCTGGATTCTGACCCAGCTCGATGCGACGGCGACGGTCAAGGGGTTCCCAGATGCGCTTCACTGGTCTGGCTTATCGGACCACGCGGCGCTAGTAGTGTCTCTTCGGCCTCGAATCGAACAGGGTTCAGATAACAGAGCCACGCACCCCGAGATTTACAAGCTCCCAGTCTTCAAACAATATCTTTCGAAGGCCTTAGAGGTAGCGGACACGTCCGACCTGGCCCCCCCGCTCTTGCTGGACTTCCACAAATCGTTGATGAAGGAAGCCGCCCGTCTCGCTCGTGATCGTCTGGTCCTGGGGTCCCCGAACAGCCCGCTCGCGAAGCTCCAAGTGGTAAAATCAACCAGCTGAGCTGTTATCCGTCAGGACTACATCCTTGGGGAAAAGCTTATCAGGTCCCATCCTCTGGCAGTCAGGTTCCTCTCGCTCGACCCCCTAGGCAGGAAAGTCCAGCTCGAGCACCCCGCCGAGTTTTTGGAGCTGACAAATGCTCTGCGCGACGAGGCCAACCAGCGCGCACAAGGCGACGCTCGTGCCCGACTGCAGGCTGCTGCTCCAGAACACGAAGAAGCCAAACATCGTCGTGAGCTTCGGGGTCTGCAACGTCGCGGCAAAATTTGGGCTCGCTTTAATCGTCGGCTTTGTCTTCGTGGGCTTCGCCAGGGAGATTCGGTCGTCGCGGATCCGAGCATGGTCCTCGCTGGGCTCGCATCGCATTGGGGAGAGGTGTTCAGGGAAAACCGACAGACACGAGAGCAGCAGCGGTATATTTGCAGCGGTATGGTTTTCAAGAGAGTCTCGCCGATCTTCCTCCTCCTGACCTCAATTTGGTCAAGCGCGTCCTGCGGCGTCTCCCTCCGGCGCGCCCGGCCCTGATGGATTGCCGTGCCAAGCGTGGCGAGCCCATCCATGTGGAGCAGAGCTGCTGCACGAGGTGTTGCGCTGGATTTTATCAGGCAACGGTATGCTCTACAACTTTAACGAGCTAAAAGGCGCATTTATTCCGAAAGATGTGGATAGCAGCGCGGCGTGCGACGAGTTGATTCGAGAACTTCTAGCCGTGGGGCCCCTAGGTTTGAACAACGCAGATTGTAAAATACTGACTAACACTTGCGTTTACCGCTGTCCTCGCAAGCCTCAGGGAGTCATCGACCATCCGCGCGGGTTCGTCGCGGGTCGCATTTTGGAGCCAAGATCATCGAATTAGATGTCCTGGGGCCGTTTCGCTGGCCTGCAGATATGCGGAAGCTCGTCATCCATATCTTGTCTCCTCTGAAACTACTGTTCAAGCGTTTCCCCTCTCTTTCCCACGCCTGGATTTATCGGGGTACTCCCTTCCCTCTTCCCCCCCCCCCCCTTTCTCTGGTTTCTTCCAACTTATCTATACGAAATCTCGCCTGCTCAGGTCAGGCTGGTAGTGCTTCGGACCGTCTGGGATCGTCCAGGGCTGTCCTGCCTCGGGGGTGATCTATGCTTTGTGGCACCCCCCCTTCTCTGGTTTCTTCAACTTATCTATACGAGTCTCGCCTGCTCAGGTCAGGCTGGTAGTGCTTCGGACCGTCTGGGATCGTCCAGGGCTGTCCTGCCTCGGGGGTGATCTATGCTTTGTCGACGAACCCGTTCATGAAACAATTCAGAGCCCAGATAGATGCTCCCAAGCGAAGAGTCACGCGTTGCTGTGCCGACGATGTGGGAGCCTGCTTCTTTTCCTTAGCTGCTCTTAAGAACATCCGCATAATCTTCCGAGCGGCGGATAGGATCGCTGGTCTCAAGCTTAAATATAGGAATGCTTTGTAGTTCCCCTCTCAGAGGCGATTTCTGGCGAGCTTATAGCCCAAATTCGAGCCTGGATTGTGGAACACGCCCCAGCCTGGATAGAATTTCAGGTCTGTGCCGCATTAAAATACCTCGGAGTTTGGATGCGCCCTAGTGTTTCAGAAGAGTCTTGGGCGGCACCGATCACACAGCACCACGAGAGATGCGCGCTGCTTGCCAAGTCTCGCCCACCCCCGACGGTAGCATCTGTTCTGTATAACTCTCGCGTGCTCTCTGTCCTGTCCTGTGCCTCTGAATTTCTGTTGCTCC